CAGGATTATACAGCATTTCAGTAAAAAAACAGTACTGCTCAGGGAGACAATGGTGACTGGCCCAGCTGTGACTCATTCCAGCTCTGCAACCCACAATGTCACTGGAATTCCACCAGGGAGGAGTGTGTCCCAAATAAGGCCTGTTTCAGTCCCTAGGAAATTTGTAGCCATAGCCATTTGTACTATTATTTACTCAGGTTATTGATCTTTTAAGACCGGTAGCTGTATCTGGCCATGATTGACACAAGTGTCTTCATAGGCAGACAAGATAATGTAATGAAAGCAGTAATACCAGCAGACAGTGGTAAAATAATGGGGGAGAAGGCGAGGGGGAGGAAGGGGCGATTTTAGTTCTTTGTCTTCCAATAATCGCTGCACAACTTGACATCTGATTTCTTTTACCTAATCTCAGCGTGCATCTCAAAAATGCTACTGGCCATCAGATTATCCCAGCAGATCATTAAATTTTCCTATCCTCCAGACTTAGGTATGCTGTGGATCTATCCAAGGATAATGAGCAGCCTGCTGTTGCACTCACCTGGTTGGGGTCGGTGTGTTTTATGAAAACTTCCCACATATTCTCTTTAATGAATGAGTCCTTTCTATTTATAGGAGAATACTCAAAAGGAAAAAGAAACAAATGACCTTTACGTGTTTTTTTATGTGACCTTTAAGTTTTTTGATGTGAAACATATTTTTCAGACAAATTCTTAGTATCAACAGGAAACGGCAATATGTGATCCCAAAGCCATGTCCAATTAAATTTGCATATATGTAATGCTATTCTGCTTCCATGAACGCCGTACAGTCGGGGTCAGAGATAAAACTTCCAGCTGCAATTACCCAAACAGCTGGATTGTTTGTATTCATGGGCTAAACTGCTATTGCTTCTAGTGCCAAACTCTACATGGATTATAGCAGTAGTAATGCTGTAGGAAAGACTGACTCTTTCAGGTAAGAAAACAAGTTTATCTGATCACAGATAAACTTTCCTCCTCAGATAAACATTTAAATAAAAAAAACTTTACCTTTCAAAATGCAAAAATGTTTCCCCTAACTTCCCTGGTAGCAGCCAGCTTTTCCTGCTCTTCCTTGTGTGTTCACGTCCTTTCTTTGCTCTCCTATTCATTAATTCCCACAAATGGTTCCTCAGCTCAAACAACAAGGCTCCAGACTTGTAGAATAGACTTGAGGACACTGAGGCTAAAAATCTTAAATGCTCAATTTCAGCAATTTGTGGCTTGCATTGTAAAACCAGTAAGGCTGTGATGGGACCAGCTATTGGTGTAATGCTGTTTGTCTTCCTCTTCCCATCACCAGGTCATGCACTGCCTGTGTCCTGGGCAGCATTAACAGGGGCACTCAGCTGCCATTGGGGTGCAGAGAGTAAGGACCTGATTTCTTTTCCCATATTAGGCTTTCTCACCCAGAACTAATGCAGCCATTTAGTACAGCCCCAGATGACCCAATGATGATTGGCATTGTCTCTGAAATTATGATCACTGTGACTGCACGTTCTGAACAGGTGCTAGACATTTGGATATTTCTCCTCCTGCCACATGAACAAGAGGAGGTATTGGTGTGTTTCCCTTGTTTAACAAGCGTGGACTGAACATCGAGTGACTGGCAAAAGGGTATAAATGAAATTTATCAAAGAAGAGGCAGACATGGAAAGGAAAGATATCGGGGTCTTCACTGCTAAGGTCAGTTTTGCTTTCATTGAGGAGAAGAAAATGTGCCACAGTGAATGCAAGAGCTAGAAAGGAGTTAGAAAGCTGGTGAGTTAGAGAGGACTAATAACTATAGGTGTAATAAAGCCTCCACTCATAGCCAAGGCTTTGAAACACCTTCAGTGGCAATCTTAATCATGATTTGAATAACATCCAGATACACTAAAACTAAATAAACAACTGAGTTTTCCCAAAATCACGGGTACTCAGATCTGTAATTGATGATGAGCCGCAGTTTTTGTCTGAACAGCTTTAATAGTAATTAATAAATTTACTCTAATAAAAATCTTGCTGGCAAAAAGCCCTTAAACATGACATTATTTACATAATTTCTTGCAACAAACAGCTGTGTAGCCCTCCACTCTGGTCATAACTTCTCAGTTGTAGTGCTCCTGCACCCAAACATTCACAAATCTTAAGGCAATGCCTGGCATTTATGATACAAAGGAGATTATGGAAGAGGTGTGTCACACAAGGGTGATTTGAAAAACAGTATTATAACTGGGGTTCAGATTCTGCAGTCAGATCCATATTGGTGACCACTGGGATGCATTGCAGGATGGGGCTCATATTTACTGATAGCTTTTAATTAGTCTGCATAATTCATTTCCACATCTGTTTTCCTATAAACAAGCCACTAATTAGTTCTGTGAGTCAGTTAAAAAGTGTGTACCAATGTGCCAGAGAGTTTAAAGAGACACTGAAAATATTTGAAACACAGTCAATTTAATTTTAATTATTTTAAAAAGGAAAGCATGAAACACCCCTCCCCATTTTTAATTTCCTTCATTTGAACTCCTCTAATTTCAGAATACATAACTGCAAGGCTGTGAGTGTGTCAAAGACTTGTGTCTCCAGAGAAAATCCACTCTGGTTTAAGATTTTTGATATATTCTACTGCTTAACTTTACTCAAGTGGTAGCTCTGGAAGCACTGCTAGCACTTTTAAAACTTGATCACTCACCTGAAAAAGTCAAGTTAATAGCATAATTTTCTCGGCACTCCAGCCTCCTGGCCTAATGCAACAAAGTAATATAATTCTTAGTTCCTGGGCCAGAGTCTTATACATGATTGGTATGGAGAAGATGAGATGTTTCTGACTAGGATCAGAAAACATGAATAGCAGACTCTCTCTCTCCCCATCTGCCAAGGGAAATGGGCAGAGCTCACTACCTTCAAAAATGGGCCTGCTCAGACACGAGGGTGTCTGTGCTCTTGCACAGAGCTCTCCTGGGTGATCACTTGAATATCTCCACCAGGACCTGTGTAAGGGAAAAGCAGACAATTCATGTAGATCAGTTAGCCTTGGCCTGACTGCCACCCCTAATATCCAAAATCTCATTCTGCTCAGACACAAGTGTAGAGCAACTAGGTCAGGTCTTTGCATGAGCAAAGATGAAACCTTGGTCTGTTCAGATGTGTTAGAAGTCAAAAATTAAACACTTGTAGAGCTCATTAGGCTTTTAAGTTCCTCCTAAGTCTTAGTTTTGTCTGACTAAATCCTTTATTGACTCTGACTGATAGCCTTGGTGCTAGGCAGCTATCCTTCCTGTTTAACCTTGTATCACTTGTGTCACTTGTAACAACAGAAACTGAAATAATAATAAGCTCAATTTTTAAATGTGGACTTTTGCTTTCCAAGCTGACTACCCCTTTAAAGATAAGATGTCCCCCTGACACCTCTCTGATGTTGGTACCTATAGTCTAGTTAGTGCCTAACAGCTAAGCACCATGTATTTTCTCCACCCTCCTTACTTTTTAAAATGAGGCTTACAGCACGCCAGCAATTTAAACTTCCGCTCTCCATTGGCAAGTCAGGATGGCTTAGATGAAAACAGTCTATTTCTTCTGATTATTCCATGCCACTGTGAGGGATTATGCCTGAGCACCAGCGGCTTTCGAGCACCAGCGGCTTCCCCCTCCCCATCCCCAAAGATTTGACCCAAACACGCTCTCCTTGCAGATTACAGCGGAATCGTTAATGCAATTTTGGCCTGACTTTGATGCAGCACTCTATTGATGCGGGGTGACGCCGCAGCAAAGCAGCAAGGTTAGAGCTCAGCAGTGATTAAGCCGGAGTCCCCGGGCTCAGGTGCGCCTTCCCCGCCCGTGTGGCTGCGGGGCGGCGCGGGCGCGGCTCCGAGCGCTCCGGCCAGGGGAGGGCAGGATGATGTTCAGCTCTAGGGTCCCGTACGCCCCCCGGGAAGGTAATCCCGGCCCGTTCAGATGCTGAGCAGTTGGGTAATCAATCAGTCAATCAGTCAGGAAAGCTGATTTTTGCAAGCATCACCCTCGCCAACCGGAAGGGGGGCGGAGACCATGGGTGCGGATCCAGGTCCAGGTCCAGGTCCAGGTCCGGGTCCGGGTCCGCGTCCGGGTCCAGGTCCGGGTCCGGGTCCGCTATCCCGGGGGCCGCCTTCCTCTTCAGGCCGGGGGCGCTAACGAGAGCTCCCTGTGTCTCTTCTGGAAGCCCTGGGGCCACCTCTGATCGCCTTCCGGGAGGGCAGGGAAGCTCTGGACCAGGCTTGACAGAAGAGCGGATAGATCATCAGTCCCGTCCGAGGCTCATGCCCCCTCTCTAGACGTGGGGCTGAGCCTCGGCAGCGGGGCTGGGGCTCGTCGGGCTGTGTCAGCTCTATAAATGCCAGGATATCATGTATATTTTATGTATGTACCTATAACATATGTATTCATAAGCAAACAAACATCTGAGCCGGGGGATCTTTAAAATGTTCCAGCTACAGTGGTAGCCAAAGGAGGCGAAAACGGTGGGGAAAAAAAAATAAAAATTAAAAATTGAAAAAAAAAAAATAGATAAAAGGAAGGATTTTTTTTTTCTTCAGGCATCTGATTTACTCCGTGACTCTGATGCTTATCAACAACGCGTGAAGATTGCAGTAAGGATCCTCCCTGGAAGGCGAGGAGGAGCAACTTCCAGGGGGCTGGGAGGAGGTGGAGTGCAGCGCGGCTCTCGCCTATAAGGAGGTGCCCAGCGAGCGGCTGGTGCTTCCCACCCAGCCGCCGCTCGCAAGGTGAATCGCCGAGGCGGCAGTCAGGGCAGCGGGCTCGGCTCGGGCACTGCCGCCGGCGTCCGGAGAGGCTCCTCCAAGGGCTGCGAAGAGTCCCCCGGTTTCCCTTCATCCGGAGTGCTTGGATGCTGTATGGAGTAAATGAGCGGAGGCAGAGCGAGCGCACAGAGGCTGAGAGGCTCTCGGAGACCGGGACCAGGGGAGACAGGCGGGCGGCTGGCTTCCCCCTCCGGGGCTGAAGATGGATTCCCGAGCCCTCGGGGGCTTCACTCTACTGCTCTTCACTTTATGGCATCTGGGATTAACTGCAACAAATTGTGAGTAACGGGAGTGCAAGGAGTTGCCTGGGGTTGGGGCGGGGGCGGGCGGAAGAGATGGGGAATAACTCCCGGAAAAAAAGGGGGTTATTGCGCCATGACCTCTGAGAAACTTAGCTTGGCTCCGCTTTGCTAATGGAGCTCAGAAATGCAAAGTTGGGGCCAGATGGAGGGAGTGCTCTCCACCGTCCTGCCGGTGTGGACGTGGGAGTGAACAGGAGATGCTGGAGCCTGCGAGGAGCCGCTCGGGGTTTTCCGCACGGTTTGTTGTCCTTCCGCTGGCCGCATCTTTTTGCGGTCAGTGGCCGCTGTCGCCTTGCCTCGGCTGCGGGCCCCCGGCCGGGACGGGGCCGGGGTCGCGCCTCTGCCTGGCGGGGAGGGTCGGTCCTTCCCGCAAGGGCCGGGGGATGCCTCGATTTTTCGGGCACAGCCTGGCTCCAGCCTGGCGGAGCAGCGCCGGTGGCACTGAGCATCTTCTCGTGGCCCGGCGGTACCGTCGGTTCCCCGGGCGCTTCCCACGGGTGCGGCTGTCCCGGGGCGTGGTGCTCGCCGTCCCTGCTGCCCCATCATTTCCTGGCTGGGAAATCGCCTTTCGCTCTTTTTGTTTCCCCGGGAGATCCGCTCGTAAGTTCGCCACGTATCTCCGCCGGCCCTGCGGGGTCGGTCCCCGCAGGCAGGAGCATCCCCGGCCGCCGGGCTTTGCGGCGCTCCGGCGGGCGGGCAGCGGCGGCGGCTCCACGGGCGCGCTTGGGCGAGCCGGGTGCGGGCGGTGCGGCGAGTCCTGGAGCCCCGAGCAGGCGGTGATGCTCCGTGGGCTGCTCCCCGGGGCCGGGGGCTGGCCGGGCTGGGAGCGGGGCTGGGAGCGGGGCTCCCGGTGCGGCCTCCCCCGTCGGGCGGAGCGGAGCGGGGCGGGCGGGGGCGCGGCGGCCGCGAGAGGGCGCTGTTGGCCCGCCGGCGGCGCTGCCCCGGCCGAGCCCCGCGGGCAGCGCTGTCCGTCCGTCCATCGGTCCGGCCGCCCGTATGTCCGTCTGTCCGTCCGCACCCTCCCAACAGCCCCGCCCGGCCTCCCTCCTCTTCCTTCTCTTTTCCTATATACGTATTTTCCTCCTCTATCTTCTTTAATTTCCAGTCAATTAAACCACGCTTAATATGTTTTAATAACGCTCGCGAATACTAAATGGCAGGCGATTTAAGGCTGAGACTTGCCATTACGGATGCGGCCATAAAGTTAATTCCTAACACTTAAAAAGAAACTCTGCGTTAATGAGTTTTACTATTTCACGGGTGACAGTTTAATTTCGCAGTGCCAATAAACATTTCCATTGAATACGCGCTGCTTCCTAAATATTTAGGAGTCAATCTTAAAGCATGATGATCAATGGTTTTATTATACTGTACAGATTTTACTTATTCATTGAGCAATGAATTAGCATGGAATCAGCTGTAAGTGCTTTCCCAGGAGCTGAGTGAAGGAGCCTGTGAATCTGTAATAGCTGCAAGTTCCCTGGAAACCTCGTTAGATTCGCATGTGAAGATCTATGTGTGCTCGCACGGACCTCAATAATTGCACCCAGTATGAAAATTCATCACCTTCTTAAATAAATCATCTCCTTATGTTGGAGCTCAGGGAGGCTGTGCGCTCTTCCTCAGTTTTGGGCAAAGAAGGCTAATACACGGGCTAAAATATTGAAGCAGTATCCTGAAATATATTCAAGTAGCTGTATGAAAGTGTTGTCACTTTAAAGGGTTACTGAGCTTCCAGGTACCCAGTAAGCAAAAGAAATAACAGACTTCTACATATGAGAAGCTTCGGTGCAGGTGGCTGTCAGAAGCTTCTATTTGAAAGCCCAAGTGCAAATGGAAAAGGATTGGTTCTGCACTCTCCTCGATTCGAATACTTTGGCCAAAGGAGTTGCATTCAAATGCCAGTACTGGTATGCTCACAATGACTTCAGCAAGTCTGTTTCTGACAGATTTTGTGAACAAGAATTAAACTGGAGGCAGTATTTATAGTTGGAAAGGACTATGCTTGAGGGGTAGGGGGAGAGTGCAGCTCATTTAATTTCCTTCCTAATATCTAATATGCCTTTAAAATAATTTGGGTTTTTTCCTTGCTTCTAAATTATAAAACTCTTTAAAATTATTCTTACTTACTTAATTTACTGTAAAATGAAAGTCCTGAGTAAGTAAAAATCTTCTCTTCCACTGAGATATTTGATTCTAATTTTCTCTTTAGTAATAGTTTTTAATTAAAGAAAGAATTGGTGAAGAAACTGCTTTGAAACACAGCTACAGGCTAGGGGTCAGTAGACATCATTAGAAAGATCAGAATTGCCAAATGCTAATAAAACATTAGAAATTCCTCCCACTTTGCATTTTGCAATATTTTATTAAATTAGGTAAATAGAGTGGCAATCGGATTTCTCCCCAGGATACTAATTACTAGAAAATGAATAAATAGCCGTGTACGTAACACTGGAAGTGTGTTGCATATGATGTCTGGGAGAACTGAAACTTCAGCATTTATCAGCTAGACAAGGAGACACAAAGCCTTGCCTGCTATATAACAAATTAGTTGCCCTTTAGCAGCATATTCTGTGATCTGAAAACATTAGTAGCTTTGGTGAGTCTAGACTTGTTGAGCCCTTTTTTTTCTTCCTACCTTTTTCATTTTAAAGTTGGAAGGAGGGAGCAGTAGTAGAAAAATGGAAGGAAATGTGAACTTGTATTTTTCTTAAGCACTTTGCCATATCAGTCTGCAGCTGCAGAAAAGAATTGCAGGAGCCATTAGTGATCTTCCACCCAGTTTAGCGTTGTGTATCTTAAAAAATGTCCCCCATTGCTATTTTACACCTTATGCCTCCCTCCCCCTTTCTAGTATCTTTCTTGATTGACTTTTCACATATGGCCTGAAAGATGTAGCAGATTAAAACACCTCCTGGTCAAGCGGCACCTTTTAACTCCCATTGTGAAAGTTATTCTCAAATTATTACATGTTTCTGTTCCAGAACACAGCTGCCTCTGCCACCTACAGAATCAGTAATATTTATTATCCCTTTTCACCAGCACTTGTTAGCTGATCAGGAGACTTTCAAACCTTTCACTTAAACCCAGTCATAAGTGTCAGTCAAAGCTGCAGAAATTCAGTGTGTAGTAGAATGAGATCTCCTGCTGAAGTTCTTGCAGAAATGTGTGGTCAATGTACGGTCCATTACTCTGCAGCAGATTTCCATGTGGCCTTACAGGATGCATCTGTCCTTGATAAGCCTGTTCAGTTAAAAATAGGAAAAGTGCGTCTGGTTTTATTTATTTTGAAAAACAATACTGAAGAAAATGTTGTTTTTATTTTTTTTCCTTGACATGGGAGATACATATTTATTATAGGCAACCAGTGTTCACTCTGATTTTAGCCTTCCTTTCTCTGCAGTGGTGCACAGGAGTCAGATAAGTGTAAGTGAAAACTTACAGGAGCAATTCTGACTCTGGATATTTGAGCCATCAAGATCAGGAAGGTGTGTTTGGGATTTGTGTAACAGCACAAATAAGACCTGTTGAGTCAACTGTGGCAAAGGCAAGAGGTCTCTTAAACAGTGACCTTTCTATCCCTGTGGTCAGAAATGCTAAGTTTGAAAAGCTGTGCTGAAATAGGTAGAATATTGATCGTTGGTTTGTGGCTCATGTGCTTGCAGGCTGAGAAGAACATCAGACTAATCTCTGGCTTTTCCTCTGCCTCTACTTAAATATTATTAACAAGAGAATAATATTCAAACATGCTTTCCTCTTGTTTCATACTGGGAGGGGGAAAACACAAATGTTAGTTTTTTCATGCCTTCCTTCAATGGAGAAATGGTAGAAAACAATGAGATTTCCTTAGAGAAAAGCTCTGAATGACCCACAGCTGATTGGTGCCTCCTTTGCATATCTGTCAGTATCTAGCTTTCAATCCCTTTGACTCAATCAGCACTCCTTGGCTGTGAATCAGTCTCAAGATGGTCTTTCCATGGACTACAGTGGTCTTTGGATTCTGCATCCACCAGGCAGATGGCATTGCCAGCTACAGGAATCCATCCAGGGTTATTATCTCAGCATCCAATACATTATCTGCTTGGACATTTTCCTTTTCTTTCTTTTTTTTTCTCTTAATGTCATGCAAACGCAGCAGGTTTTTCCTTATAAATTAACAGCAAGAACAACTTGTTTTCAAATGTGCTTGGTACATTTGAACAAAGTATAGACTTCAAGTGGAAAATATGGTGGGTAGAACATTGTACTTGTGAAGCTCTCCCTGCACATGGCATGTACAGGCTTCTACCAGCACTCCAGTCCGTGTAGGACTGGTGAAGTTTTTTTTAAGTGCTGTAATCATTCTTTTACCAATGGGAAACTGAATGTGTGTATACAAACAATAGATAAATGTGCAATCAATGTGAAATCTAAGTAGTTAAAATGAAGCCTTGGGGGTCAATTGAGTTGATCCCATGTAGCATGGTTGTGTGCCATTCTCTGTTGTTAATTCATGTTCGTATTTGCTATATGTAGTTGTTTCTAAATCCATAGACTACTCCTCATTTCCTTCCCCCCCCCTTCTCTGCTGCTATTTGAAGCAAGTGGAGTTTGGATATCTGAATACTGAAATGAATAAGAATCCAAAGGGAGTGGGAGGTGGCATTTATTTATTTTAGCCCCCAAAATGGATTTTCTGTAGATGTGACAGGTTTCAGCTCTATTGGCAAACTTGAATTACTGTCTTACCTACCCCCTCCTCTGAAAGAGACACAAGAAGGGGAGAAGCAGAGAACTGAAGGTGTATCTGCCAGCTCACACGTGTCAGGCTCTCTATCTCTTTCTCCTTTGCCTGCCAGCCTCCAGAATCCTACCAAGTGTTCAGGTGCTCCAGGGCTGTCTGTACAGGGCACCAGGTAACCTGCTGTGCTATTTATTTATTTACTTATTTTAATAATAAAGAACTCTGTGTTTTGCCACTCTCAGAATTAGGGGAA